TTTTCAGTGCCCTTCCTTTAGCATCTATTGGAAAATGTATCGCAATGCAACGGATTGGAGGTAAATCGGAAGGTTCAATTGCAAGTCAACGGACCCTCCCTTGTGTTGCAATTTCCTTCCGATTTTGGTGTGAATGGACCCTTAATACAATACTGGTCAGATCTGCATTAAATAGTCTACGATCTACAGAAACCACATTAATATCACCACACCAAACGAAGGGCACCTGTGCCACGCAAGTTTTTTCTCCCCTCTGACAACAAGATATAACAAAATTCTTTCATGGTATATATCACAGACCAAATGGGAGCAAATAAGAAAAGGTCATTGTTAGGGTTACATACATTTTAATCCAACACAAATACACACGTCAATGCATGGAGTTCTTGCATAAAGCTGGCCTAAGGTAAAAAAATAAAAAAATAGATAAAAAGATAATAGCAGATAACGTGTATGTAAATCCTAACAATTAACTGCTATTTGCTCCCTTTTGGTTTGTCTAATATACAGTTGAAAGTGTTTTCTATTAGAGATGCACCAGTACCGGTTTCGAGTACAAGTACCGATATTTATCTTTCGGTACTCGTCGATACCGAGTACCCATATCGGTACTTCCGCAGCATGGAGCCAGCTTCCCGGCCAGTCAGAAAGCTGGAAGGCGAGTCATTACCCACCGCCCGGCTTCTTGATTGCCCGAGAAGCTGGCTCCATGATGTTTGGCCAGCTTGATGCTGATTGGCTGAGAAGCATCCCGGCCAATCAGCATGGAGACATCCAAACAGCATGAAGCTGGCTTCCCGGCCAATCAGAAAGCAGAGCGGTGAGTCATTACACGCCGCCCGGCTTCCTAATTAGCCGGGAGGCCAGCTCCATGTGAATGCTCCCTTTTACCGGAAGTTCCAGTATCGTGGGTAAGTATCGGAGCATTTGGCATACTCGCCCAAATACTCAGTATCGGCACCTATACCAGTATTGGTATCGGTGCATCCCTATTTGCTATATATATCGATTTGATGAGTGCAAAAATCCAGTGAGCTCCTCACTTCTTGCACACTTGGTTTCATTATTTTTAGCAGACAGCATTATCAAACCTGCCCAGCTTTCTATGTGCAATACATAACATCTTTCTTCTAGGTTAATGCGATATAAAAGTCTATTTCAAATGCTGATTAAATCACTTACAATGGATGCTGCTGCTTGATGTTTAAAAGTTTTAGCTTCTTGCACAGTCAGCTACTCCCCTGAGCACTGGCCCTGATATCCTGTTTAAGGGTGGCTCCTTTCCCTTGCAGGGTCTTATGGAGCCCCCCTTGTATGTGCTAGTAAGTTGTGTGTGTCTCCACAAACACACGGGCACAGCAGGGCAAGCTAAGCTGCAGGAGCCTGCTCTGTCCCTTGTGATCTTGTACCGGACAGAAAGTTGAGGGAAGCCGAGCTGAAATGTAAAAATATAAGGAAATACTTTGCTGGGTATTATATATTTGTTTGATATAGAGTGATAATAGTGAAATAAAAAATTTGGGAGTTTAATACTACATTAATGAGAAGGTGAGGGGGAGGTGCTCCGTAGTCTGTAGTTCAGAACCCACATATGCTAGCCATTCAAACATATGGCCAGTTCTAAAAAGGGAGCCAGAAGCAGTGTTTTTTACAGGAAAGTCTTGAAAGTAAGTATACTAACCTACTAATATTCTTTTATTATATGTATTTCAGCAGGATTGTTACTATAGCTTTTTTTTCTGTGACTGCATTTGGAAGATTTTCCTTTCTGCCCTTCTCCGCCACATACAGTTGTCACCTGGACCGGAAGGGACAAAAACCAATAATAAAAAAAAAAAAAACCTTTACCAAAAAAATGTGTTTTTATCTGTTCTCTGTTCCACTGTCCTGACACGAAGTAAGAGGTAATTTCCCCAGCAAGGACAAAGATGGCCTGGGATCAGAGGCCCCAGCGCTTAAGCCAATATTGCCAATATTCTGACAACTACTGCCCGCCGCTGTCAAAATACATACATGACAAATGTTCAGCCCTGTCCCCTTAGCAAGAGTTAAGAAATTCCAAATCGGCCAAAACTATAACATTATATGGCCAGCCTTAGCAGCTCTACCCAAAACAAACAACAAAAATTAGCTGGAGTTGGCTGTACATTTGAGCCCAGGTACACTTAGTACCCTAAAAAATGTTTGTGTTAACAAAAATAAAGTTTTACTAATAATAATGAGAATAAAGTAAAACATTTCAAAGCAGACAAGACTTCTTTAGAAGTGTAATGTGATGCTGGGATTTGACACCGGAATCTGTGAACTGAGGAATACAGTGATTAGAAAGGAAAATACAGTTGCTCACGCAGAATGAAATTTTGCTTGCGGCACAGCAGGCACATTCATTTCCCAAAACTTTGGATACTTTAATCTAAGGTAATCTTAATGAAACAGTTTAAACTGGTTTTACATTTGATTCTTGAAAGTTTCACCTTTTTCTCAAACCTAAAAGCGAGGAAAATGTGAAACAGTCTACGAGGCTTTAAATACTCGCTGTTCATTGAAGTCTTCTGAGCTCATCTGGTTTGAATACAACAGAGCATTAAAGAAACTGGAGGTATAGACTGTGCTGATTTTACAGCAAAAATACCTCAAATAATTACACAGCAGGTATTCAACTGTGGAAATGCAAGTTCTGGGTTGATTCGATTTATTTGGTTTTGACAGTCATGCGATAGCAACTGCCAGCTGAATTTCAATAACCGAAGCGCGACATGTCAGTAGCTAAAACACTTCAAAAATGCTCTTCCTGTCAGTCACATTCTTTTTAATTGCAAACTATCGGAGCCAAAATAATCCTATCGCTGTCTACATGCTTGCTTTGTGGTGTGACCAACCGTGTTCCTCCAAATGCACAGGCATTGTTTCACCTTAGTGTCTACTGAGCCTCAACTTCAGAAAGCGCAGGCAAACCATTCAAAATGCTTCGAGTAGATTTATTAAAGGTCTTAAAGCACCCTTCAGCTCTAGACAGACAGTGCTGAATACAGATTATATTAGAAATATTGGATGTAGCTGTGAAAAAAACAAAACAAAAAAACTTTCAGCAGAATTTACGCAAGCTTCAGCACTACTTGTAGTTTGGTCAAGTCCTCTAAAAGCTTGTAACACCTACAGCCAGTATTCCCATTTAAATGTTACTGGATGCTTCCACACTGGAGCTGAGGGACGGTTTCATATATACTAGAGATGCACCGATACCATTTTTTCAAGTACTGATACTTGTCCAAGTACTCACAGATACAAGTACTGATACATTTTTGTTTATTGTCACGCGACAGTTTTTCTAAAACAATACAGACTGATGATTTCAAGACAGTGGTGGAGCGCCAGAGCCAGGTCCCAGCTGCAACCCTGGTAGTTCTCGTGAAAATGCCAAGTATCGGCACTGGTATCTGAACATCCCTATACCGTTACAAGCCCAGACAATTCAAATTGAGCAAACGACAGAAAACATACACAGCAGCATGGAAAACCTCAAAATGATAAAAAGTTCCAAGGTCTTATCTGAAACTGTTTAAACTCAAGAGTCTTCAGATAAAAGTCCAGCTAGAACCTAATGCTCCCATCTCTCAAGCCTTGCTTCTAAATCTTTAATGTAATGTGCCACCTCACTGAGTAGATAGAGAGGAAGGATGGGATAGTAAATTTAAAGCCACACTCTGGGCAAAATGATCATTTACACACTGCACTGGGAGTGCGAGAGATGAATGGCCTCCCTTATACTAGTCATACTCATGATGTTTAATCACATTTCCACTGCAAAAACAACTGAACAAGTCAATGCAACTTACTTAATACTTCATATATCTAAAAGGCAGGGATGGAACCTGGTTGGAAGTGAAAGATGCAAAAAAAACAGCTGTGTGCGCAGCCATTCTTAGTACTTAAAGCCACACTCCTGGCAACAGGACAATTTACACACCACACTGGGTGTGTAAATTATTATTTAAAAGCTGTGTGTTATGTGTAGAGGTCGACTGCAAAGTATACAAACCATACTCTGCAGCATGCAGGCTCCTGCACATAATTCCCAATGCCTGGTCACTGAAGAGAGGGAGAAATGCAAATTGAGCAGTACATCACTCCGCTTGCATCACAACATTCTGTGACTGGAGGTGGAGAGGAGGGGGTGGGATATGACATGATCTCTCCCCCTCTAGTCACAGAATATCTTATATTCTATGAAAAAAATTACAAGATATTTAAAGAATGCACAGTAGTGAGAAGGGGCAGCTGAGTGATGTACAGCTCGAGGTCACACCTCTCCCTCTCTTCAGTGTCTGGAAATCTCAACATTGTGTGCAGGATACGGCGTGCAGCAAGGCAAGCTTTTTATACTTTGCAGCCACCCTCTGCACATAACACACAGGTTTTTAATTATAATTTACACACCCAGTGTTATAAATTTGCCCAGAGTGTGGCTTTAAAAAAATATTTACATAGGCAAATTAGTCACAGAGTTATTTGAAAGTTAATCTATACATAGTCAGTATCTGGGTATCTAGATTTTAATTACCTCTGGTCATAAAAGGGTTAAGGACTAGAATACATGGTTTACCTCTAATATTAATAAGCACAGCATTTTGAAAGATGCAGAATGCAGTGTTTGAATTGTGAGCTCAATCTCATGGAGCACCATACACTCAGTCCAAATTGATCTCAATGCCCATGTATACTTACCATAAACTTACATAATTTAACTGTTACACTTTTTATAGCTCCTGTTTTAGAAAATAAGCACTAATAGGAGTTAAAATTAGGTAACCGTACTGTTGCGATATACAGTATATTCCATATGTTTACATAATTTTAAGCATAATGTTAGCTGGTACACATTATCAGCTTACTGAGCTTTGGTCACCAGTGCAGACTTGACAAAAAAAAAAAATAATAATTAGTCCATATTGAACAGCATTTAACTTTATCCATAAATAACAGAGATTACGCAAACATACCTCTGGATACTTTAATCTAAATGTTTTATGCATTTCCCTGAATCGGCTGTAACGTCTGAACACGGTCCATGTTTCCTCCAAGACGGTGATCTGCACAAGATAAAACAGATAAAGTTTTAAAAATCATCCATGCAGAGAAAGCATCTTAATGGCAGTGACATTGTCTGCAAAATACTCCGCTTCCCCTGCTACTCCGTTTGGCTGTCAGAAGTGAAAACAAACAGTAATCAATCATTCTAGGCATGGTGGAATATGCAACTCACTCCCCTTCCTTCCATGTGACAGTGCAAGAGCTTGGTGAATGGCTGCTCAGGCAGTCTGCACTGTCACATGGAGGAGGGGAGAGAGTCCTCAGCCCTGTGCAAGCTTATGATGACATCTTAAAGGTTACATAGGGGCTTTGTCTCCCTGCAGCCAAAACAAAGAGAAGACAAGTATGCACAGCTTGGGGTTAGGTAAGCTGGCATTAAAGTGAACCTGCTGCTTTACCCAACATGGACAAACCACAAGCTTGCTTTAAATTTAACCTAAGCCAAAAAACGTTATCCTTAAATTAATAATGACAGCAAAAATGTTTTTCATGATAAAAGCTGTAAAATGATGGCAATAACACTAAAATTATACCAAAAAAATCTTAGCACTGAAACACAATGCACCAAATGTTCAGCACACACATTATTCCAAACCGACCGACTACAGATGTGAAGAAATCTAAATATAAAATATAAAAATAAACAAAAAAAATGACAGGGTTACCTTTATTTCAAACTCATAGTGCTCATCTTTGCCTTGTCCACAGAGAACGTAGCGAGGAATAGTTATTTTCACAGGATCTGCAAGATCATCTGGATTCACACCTAGTGACCGCGAGACCAATTTCTACAGGCAAGCAAAAAGGGAAAGAAATGCTTAATGAGTGCAAAGAACATGGCCCATTTTTCATTAGTAAAATTGTCACTTAAAGTAAGCATTGCGGATCCAGAACAATGCTATTCATTTTCATGACCTACACAGAATGTGTGCACTGAAGGCCTGAGGTGTTGATGCCTGCCACATGCTAATAGACTCGCCAGACCTTACCTTTCTGCCATCCAAGGAATTATAGTTGTAGGCTAGGCATGTTTTTCAACTATGAACAGAACTCAAGGTCTATGCACAGAATTTTCTTGGTCATTGTTTCAAAAACCACATATATAAAAAAGGTTTTTCGCAACAGAGTGGCGAATCCATCTAATAAGAGGTGTTTGCACTTATTTATAGACTTTAACTTGTGTACTTCTATGGGGAAGCTAAATATGAACTCTAATCTGAATTAGCTATGCTGAGGGGGAGGGAAATAGGGGCCGTCGAAGTTGTTCAGAGTACTGAATATATCTCTATAGCAAGACCTCCTCTAACTCGCAAAACTGTTTCAACATCTGCCTAAAGGTTAATGAACTTAATGAGACTTGTGTATTACTGATCTGACGAGCCCCCTAGATGGAAGGAAGGGCTATCAGTTAATCAGTAGTAGAGCCAATCAGGGCTCTACTACTATGCACACTGCTGTCAGTCTAATACTGTGAACAGTCAATGAACGATAGAAATCACCAGCACTCCGGGTCACATGTCTGCCCTGATGAAGGGACCCTGTGTGGTCCCGAAACGTTGGATTATGCGATGTGTGACGTTTAGTCCAAATAAATTGACTTTTTTTGAATTTAATTTACAGAGTGCTGGTGATTTCTATCGTTCATTAACTGTTGTACACGGCGCCATCCGTGATTGTCACTGTGAGCACCACTATTTTCACTTGGACCGGAAGCGCTATAAGGAATGCAGGGGGACCTACTGTTTTCGAATACTGAGAACCTACTTCCAGGTGAGTAGAACACAGGCTAATCGTAATAGTTAACTGATGCCCCTTCACTGTCCTGTCATAGCTTTTACCTTGAACTAGGATGCATTGTAGGATGCAAAGTAGTCCACTGTGAAGTCCAGTACCTAGCTGTGCAGTGTGGCAGGAGTACCTAGAACACCAGTCTGTCTAAACACAGTTGCAAATCTCTTGGAAGTTGGAAGATGAAACCAATCTCATATTTGTTGTTCAATTGCAAATTTAGTGGTTTCCCTGAAGTGAGTTTTAAAGCTGTTCTGAAGAACCTCTCAAGTATCTCCTTTTAGTAGATAAAATATCTTCATAAAAACGCAGATTTAGATGAACAATTCTTAACCCCCTTTCTTGCTCTCCCTTGACTGTATTGTGTTGAGCTGACACGCATGCAATTCATCGTAAGAACAATAGTAGGAGACTTGTTTATACTCTGAAATGTCTGTAATAAGTCTCGGTCTATGGCATGGAAGTGATTACAATTATTTCAATGTATGGGTATTTATTTAAACCACATGAATAGAACATGATATGTATGTATTTGTAACTTATGAAAAACACACCAATGTTTTGCATTATTTTACTGCATGACTTAACATGTACTTACACTCAGGACAAAGGCCACTGTTACACTGTATGCATTTTTAATAAAATATAACCATCAACTTGTAAAGGCCTGCTGTTCTACAGTTAAAAAAAAAAGCAAGACAAAAATACCTGTGGTCCTAAGAAATCATCACCATAAATAAGAGGAAAACCACAAATATCTGCTTTGCAATAAAAAAAGGCATCCCATAAACGAAGCTCCCCTTCCCCCCAAATCCAAGCCAATCTACAATCCAGACCTCTCAGGAAACATATACTGCAATATGCGATGTGCTTGTATAAACTGGCTGCTGTTAGACTTGTGTGGCTCGGTCTGTCGAGGAGAGACTTTACAGTTATTACCTGCAGTAAGAAGATTAGTTTTTCTGCTGAGTAAAAGACAACTGCACAGCCAGAAGCAAGGAGGAAATAAAACTGGTGTCTTTAGTGTAGGCAATGATTATGTCATTGTGTTTAATTAACTCTAATATCTGTAATAGAATATACCAGGGGAATGGAAACTACAATCAAAGAAAAGAAAATGACAACACATGTAGAGTGACATTGCTGACCTCTCCTTTAGAATATGTTAGTTCTGGGACTTTCATGGTGATGCTTTGGCTTTATTGCTTTGTGAGTTACTAAATTGGACCAAGCATTGAGAAGGAAATAAAACTTTTTGGATACTTATTTGCAATATGTTTGTTCTGGGTCTGAGACTAAAAGTAGATCAGGCACAGCCAAGTAACTGGAATTTTTAAAGGAGATCTGCAATGAAAGCCCTCATACTTCTCTTAGGACAGGTGCACTAAAAAGGATTGTATGCAAAATCTGCTATTCCCTTAAAAAAGGAACTGGACTCTGGAAACTGTGCCCTATAAAATTCAGGCAGAGGGCAAATGACTATTCCCCAGTACTACATGCGGTCTCCTTGCTGCTGATCATTTCCCCATTACTAACATACAATGCCTTGTTCTGCACGGTGTCTCTGTATAGAGGTGCTCATAGAGGCAGGGTTTTGCTTGCTCATGCATGGCAGAATAAAAAGCAGCACAGTAGTGACATCATCAAATCTCAATCCAAACTCAGACTAGTGATGTCTGTGGGCTTGGTGCAAATCTAGTTTGCTGGAGTTCGCCCAAATCAGTACAAATCTGTGACTGAAACACCCCCCTCCTGGCCCAATCAGTTGTTTGGGGGGAATGCCGCAGCTGCAACTGATTGGGCCAGAAGAGGTGCGAGTCATTCACAGTTTTGCACAGGCTTAGGTGAACTGGGTTTGCACCAAGCCCATGGACATCACTACTGGAGACTAGCAGTCAGAGGTAGCACCGCCTTAGATCTTACACTGCAGATATACAGCAAGAAGGCTTTAACCCCTTTCCCTGCCCAGGGGTTTTCCCCCCCGTTTTTTGCACACGTTATAATCCACATTTAGGGCTTAAAATTACTTAAACCCCCCCAGAGGGTTATAAGTTTCCCAAAAACACAGACACAGACCCTGTAGAATAAAATGGTGGAAGTTTTGAAATTGCACGATTTTAGCTAAACCTTTTTTCAAACCCAAACATTTCAGGAAAAATTACACTTGAGTTATTTTTAGCGCCCCAAAAACACAAAATAATACTTATTTGAACTTATGCTGCATAAATGCCATGAAACGTTGGCAAAATTAGGTAACCCAAATTGTCCATAGAGGATGCTTTAAAAGCCCATACAGGTCATCGGTTTAGAGTCAACCATGAACATGGGCCCTAGAATTATTGTGCTCACTCTGGCGCATGAGGCAATACCCAACATGTGCAGCGCAATCAATGTTTTTGTACATAGGAGCACCCAATGCATGTTTATGTTACTATGTGCATGTTCGCAGGGGCAGGGAATGTAACTTTTTTTAAACATTTATTTTACTCTATTTTTACACTTTTTAAAAAAAACTTTACTTCATTGCGATCACATAGGTGGCTCACAAGCCGCCGATGTGATAGCATATTAGGTGACAGGTACTCTTAAAAAGTGACTTTATGGGTCTATTAGACCCCTAGTGTCATATTTTCACTGCATAGAAGCTATTTAAGTGCAGATTACACTCGAATAGCTTCTTCCCCGACTGCTCTAGCCAGGGAATGACAGCTGAGGAACCAGAAAAAAGGCAATCAGCATCACTTCATACTGCATTCAGCAGGGAGGTGACTGGCGAATGGATGTTCACTGATCTCACTTTCCTCTACCCACTGACACCCGTGATGCCGGTACTGGGCCTGCAGAAGGGACAGCAGAGCCCTGGAAGCAAGGAAGGGGCTGTCGGGCAGAATAAATACACTACACCTGGAAGCGATCTGGCAGCAGCCCAGCCGCCAGAATCACTTCCAGTGTAAAGCCACTGGGAGTCTATTTAGGGGGGCCTGCTGCCAGCAACGTATGCCTTACATTGCTGGTAGCAAAAGGGTTAAGGTCAGGAGTGACTAGGCACCCTCACATACCAAGAAATCCACTGCTATTTTTTAGATGGAATATAGAAAAAAAATGTACATTTTCCGGCTCCTGCTTAGGTACAAGTAAATTGCTGAAGTGCAAATCTTAATTTTTGAGAACAATCTCAAGTAACAAATGAAAGCAATAAGCAAGCTCCAAACTCTTGCCAGTTAACAAAGCAAATGTGCGAACGTCTAAAAAGTTTACCTTAGCAGGAGCTCTGTGTAATTGCCACCAGGGTATGCACACACTCTTCCATAGAGTGTCCCTGCGGATGTACCTCCAAGCATGTGCTGTGTTAATTCCTCACTCTCTATTTTGAATCATTCATAACTTTCAGACTTCCAAGGCAGGTTTGAATCAGATTTATCATAGAAGCTTTATACTACTGGCTTTTTCTTACAATTATGCTTTTCGTTTGTGAGAGGAAGCAAAAGTTGGAGTTCCAACATCATCAACAGGTGCATTCCTGTATCACCAGATTACAGATAAAATATAGAGTGGCCTAGTGCACTAATTAATTAAAGCCTACATCTCTGCTGTCTTTAGTCAAATTTACTTCTAGCCATGTAAATAAATATATTTATTTTGGGAATAAAGGGAATATAAAGTGGTTTAGTAAATAATTTACATAAATACTTAAATGAATATTATACATTCTAGCCAACCGACAGGTGGATCTTAAATTTATATTAAAGTCAAAAAGGTATTAAGTTATGCTAAATGCTGATTACATCACTTATAATAGATGCTTCGCCTTGATGTTTAAAAGTTTTAGTTTCCTGCAGAATCAGCTGTTCCCCTGAGCACTGGTCCTGACTTCCCGTTCTTGTAGAGCTGTCCTGTTCCTGTTCTCAAGCAGAGTGTTATGCAATCACCCTTGTGTGTGCTAGTAAGCTGTGTGGGTCTCCACAAAAACACAGACACAGCAAATCTCCTCCTGCTTCCC